ATATATATATCTGTTTATGTATGTATCATATATATATATATATATATGTATATATGTATATGTATATACATATATATATATATGTGTGTGTGTGTGTGTGTGTGCGTGTGTGTATAATATATTATTTTTCCTTTATTTACTGATTTATTTTTAATTGATATATATGTATATATATGTGTGTGTGTGTGTGTTTGTGTGTGTGGTGACTGTTTAGATATATTCATGTATATATTTATAGATGCATTTATATATCTGCTTGTTTGTGTGTGTTTGCTTATGTGTATGCGTAGTGTGTTTTATGTTTGTTCGCAATTCTGTACGTTATGTATGCATGGGTTGTATCCCATATATATCCGTGTTATGTATGTGGATGAAATTAAGCTATACATATGTATACGTGTATATCAATCCCGCTTATTTTGCTTTAATTGGCAATAACCATACGTTTATCATGTTTGTGTGCCATTTTGTTATTTATTTGCCTCATGTATTGGACTTCCGTCTCAAATATGGGAGTTGGAAGATAAGTGTGCATATATATATATGTGAAGATGTTCCTATATACATATTTTATGTATAGATTTGTTTGTGTCAAGTGTCTGTGACGTGTCTGTGTCTATTCTTGTGTGTGTGTGTCCCTCTCTGACTTTTTAGAGAGACTGCTCTGATTAGGCACGGGCGTATTGATGTAGTAAAAAGGTACTGACGATTCTGTGTCTTCATTGGGCCCATGCTGATTTTTCTCAGCCGTCTAGATTCATTTCGCAAATGAACCCGATCTAGATATTGTGTACTTCCATTGGGCTTTTTTATTTTCTAGATTGTAATTGACCAGATATTTTGTGCAGACGTACATATTTAGATACAACATAGGTACGCAGCGTACTCCGAGGCAAGGGTGTTGTTTCATGGGCGGTATGCACAAAACGATAGTATTCCCGTGGCACATAAAATTTTCTTATCTTGTTTTGTGTCTTGTTATATACCAAGCGCCCGCAGCCACTAGTGTACAAGGCAGTGGTTTGGCCGACTGCTGTAGTATAGTTGACCACTCCTTCACTCGTACACACCAATATTCGGCTTTCTGCTTTGATACACCATACAGTGCACTTGCAGTCGAGTTTATTTCACGTGCAGTCCTGCAATCTATGATCACGATTTCTAGCAGGCGCTCGTGTATTGAATTTTCTACCCCGTTCTAACTCATTGTAATAGCGCCTCCAAAAGCCCGTACCAAATGACCCGACCAGTTGCATACGATTCTTCCATACACACGCACTTTCAATCGCATCTTTTTTTCTCCATAAGTGCATTCGCACATCTCCTCATCTATCCGACATAAACATACACAGCACACGCCACCCACAATCAAGCTCACAATTGCGGTGACTTATACATTCTGCGCACCTTGTACATACATCAGTTCTCTTATGATGCGGATCTGGTGCCACACTTCGATGACAGTGCGCTGGGGTATTACCGTGTACCACCAGAGCGTGCCGATCTGACGGTCGGGTAGGTGGTCTGCCATTGGCTGTGTGTGTGTTTTGTGGATATGCAAGTACTGCATCTGCAAGTTGTTACGTACTTGTGGGTTGCATTGGCTTATTCGTGTCATTGCCTGTGTCGGCTATGTCGTCGCCGATCAGCTGTTATGCTTCTATTTCTAGTGCGAGTGCGGCACATTGTGATTTACACACCCGCGTATACACCTAGTTCCACATATCTTGGCGATGCCTATTGAGCAGATGCTTGTTGTCTCGTCTCCGCCCTTCCTGTCCTCACATTGTACACTTGCACGATGTTCTGTGTAGATTCGATGTGTTCCAATCGAAGGATGAGGCAAAGGATAATCGCCTGGACGATCTACTGGCCGCACTCGAACACGGATGGAAGAAAGGTAACCAGCTTTTCGTGCCAAATTTCCCATGATTCAATATTGTTAGCTTACATATCTCGACAGATAGTTCGCTGTCATAGCAAGCCCTGGTCTCCATGCGGTTTTAATCATCGAATTCGGACGCTCTTTATATCTGCTGAGAATAAAAATACAGTACAAGGTGACATACACATCCAAAAAATTGCGATGCACGCGTGTACGATCTAGCTCAATATTCTCTTGCTCCAATTGACTGCTGTATCTGCGTATGCCTCTCTCACTCCAAACAGAACTGAAACGAAGGAAGTCGGATGGTGGCCCCGCGAACGACACGACCACAAATGAACGCGATACGAAACGGATGCGTACAGAAGCACAACCGAACGATACACCCCGCACCCGCGGACAAACTTCAAGGGACATACAAGTACAGTCACGCACCAACACATTAGATAGCAATATCGAGCCCCCGGCCACGCGCACAGACACACACACCAAGCCACCGGACAGGGGGAACAATGCGGAACAAGCAATACCGGACAGCGGCACTACGCGTGCGCAGGACACGGCAGACACACTGCAACAGCAACACAGTGCACTCCATAATAATAACACACACAGCACTGTGGAATCAAGGGCCGAGCGGTTCAACACAGGCGTGGACATGGTTATGTGGCGAGGGCTGATGTCAAAGCTATTCATCACGCCGTACTGCCGCAATGTATGTGGGCATAGCTGTACCAATCGCACCTGGATTTGCGTGTGCGTGTGTGTGTGGTTGTAGTGTATGCGATTCGACGTTCGTGTCCATCAGTACTGAATGTCTGCCCGGGAATCAATAGGGCCTCAGGGCTTTAAGATGTTTATGGCTTAGCTCAATTGTGTGAATATGCCTTTAAAATACTGATCTACGTTTCCAGGGTATACTTTATTACACGGTACCGGGTTCCATCTGAGCTCCTTACACTCATCCGTTTACCATGTTGTGCTTGTTTGTTGCATGATGTGGGTTGCAGATTTTAGCTGTCTCAGCCATGTCATCTCAATCCCTGATAGCGTACCTGTGGGATGTATTGAGCTTGCTTGCATTCTGTGCTGAATATCTCTTTGCCCCGGAATTGGAGTGTTGTGGGCATCCAAGCTGAAAACTGGCACGTATATTATATGTGTCGTTATACAGAATGATAGCATCTCTGCATGTAGGTGTTTGCTGCTCATATGAAATGCACGTTCTGAATCTGCTCATGTCTATATTATGCATCAGGACCGTTTCAACGAGCCATGGAAATTCGGGGCGATGTTGCTGGACGGATGTATCTACCTCTGTGAAATAAAGACTGAGCAGAAGTAAGCACGCGCGCATGCCATCCTGCCGTTAGCTGTATGCGTGTGTGTAACGCTATACGAATCCTATCAATGGTCGCCCAGTGATTTTTCACTGAGACGCTCATCATGGCTGAGTAGTTCTGGTGGTATTGTACCCCTACCATCCGGTGCAGTTGTTGCAGTCAATTTACATATCACTGTCGTCTTGTTATATTGCCAAGTAGCGGCCGGTTCATCTCTCGCTAATTTTAAATGACCAACAATCACACACTACTACATCCGTGCCCTTAGAGAGATGGACACACGCGGGAAGATGCTGTGCTATGGCGGATTCAAGTTCGAACAATATTGTACCGTGGCAGACCGAGCAGAGGCGCAGAGAATGGCACGTATGTGGCCCGAGAATACTGTGCTTGTATATGCTCTTTGGATGCATCACGCACCACTCTATGCACATGCTATAATGCTATACGACGCGCAAGCAAAAACCACGTTACAGTATGAGGCTCGGTCGCCGCATGCTCAACCAGACATCTGACCTGCCGCTTTCGCAGGGTGACGATATGGCGGAAGCGTGTAAAGTGCTTGAATACTTTTGTCATACACAATGAATACGCTTGTGAGGCCCACAGGCTTATGTGATTGTGTTTTGGACTCGTGCACCACAGGTGAGGGCACGAGACCCGAAATCGAGCACACACCGGTGAACAACAGCATAGCGTACTGTGCCATTTTTAGATCCAAATTAGGAAAACACCGCGTGGTCATGGGTGCGGAGATGGACTGTCTTAAGGCTGATGGGCGCAAATGGTATGCTCTATTCCGATACCTCCCTTGCCCTTCTTTCGCTCGCCTCCTTAGTCTTACCCCACACTTGTGGCTTTATCTACGGAGAAGTGAATGCTTTAGCTTAGGGGTAGTACACTCTAAACACTGCGCGTGTATGTCTTCGTAAGTTTCAGTATGTACACACTCGCACATTCTGATGCACCACTATGGATGGTTAGCTCCGAAGTCGACGCTTAAGCGACTTCGTGTGCAAACGGACTATGTAGTAGAGATGTCTTGTTCATTCAGAGCCGACAGCTGTTTTCGTATAGCTCGACGTTTGCATTTGGATGGACTCATGCACTGCGACCGGCAGCTCATGTCCACTGTCCCCCGCAGACTCTTCTCAATGTGCATTGAATCAAGTACTACGGATGCATGTGTTTTGATATCCTCATCCCATTTTGTCTGACCTCGCCTTTCCGCATAGACTTATATCTACCTCGTATGTGCTGATCTCAATATTTTTATTTGTGCGTAGGGACTTGGGATCGTATGTGGAGCTGAAAACATCGAAAGTGATCCACTCACAGAGAGACGAGGTATAAACCTGTTTCCATCACCTGCGACTCCATGAGATAGCGTTTTTTTGTTTGACATCCATTGAAAGTGTGGTTGGTCTACCCATCCATCCATCCACACTTCAGTGCTTGAGTCTATCTCAATCGAGGCCTGAGAGAACGCCCGATTGCACCCGTTTCACACAAGTCCTTGATTGTTGGGGAAATGGCCGGTTCAACGAGTCATACGCTATGGATTTCTAATAGGGTGCATAGTACTTGATATACGATACGATGCAAACTCTGAATTCGCCCGTTTGTCTTTCACTCACCCTCCCTCCCTGCAACTCCCGTGCAGGAAAATTTCGAGAAGACTAAGTTGCTCAAGTCATGGGCGCAGTCGTTCCTGTCTGGTGTCGAAACCATAGTATATGGCTTCAGGGATCATCAGAGTATAGGTGGGTTTGGTACTGGGAAGTGTGGGACCGGGTCTTTAACAGGGAGTTGATGATGATAACACTATTGTATTGGTCACTATATCAGTAGGAATTTCATCAAATGCCAAATAGGTTCTACACTAAAGTAGCGATAAGTGTCGTGAAAGAGTAGTGGTCATTGTGACACCAGTACATCGATTAATCTGAGACCAACACAATAGTGCGACAACAAAGTATAGGTATGAGGATTGTACCAAACTTGTCTAGTCGTAGAGCAAAGTTGCAGTATGGTACCTCGGGCCTGTCATACAGCAGACTCAAAATAGTTATCGGACTTTTCTCAAAACATAGAAAGGATGTGAAAGTATTCTGAGTTGCTCCATAGAAAATTTTGATGGTCGATGAGACTATATAGTTTACAACGGGGTATCAAGTGTATGGCAAGAAACACGCCGACGCAATCTTTATCGGCCAATTCTAAAAAATATGTTGAATCATTTATGTTCTTGGGCTGAAGCCGACCGCTGTGCAGGCCAATTTAGCTAGCGTATTTACACTGTGCAGTTCATGAAGGCGGCTTGAACAGAGTATATCTGGTTCAACACTGTTTGTATTCTTATTTTTGGAAATGTTTCATGGCATTGATAAGAATGCTGTTAAAACTGGCTATTCTGTGCCCCGTCAACAGTCCGAGCTGTTCAACAGTTCAAGACTAGGGAGATGCATAGAAACGCGAGGGCAAAGGGCTACTGGGATCCACAGGTATGGAATTAGTTTCTCGTCCAAACTTCGAGCGCGCTATGTACATTTCAAGTGTTTTTGTTGGGCGATCTTGGCCTGCTGTTTAATAAACGAGGACATTTAAAGTAGAGAAGGGCGTCGAAAGTGCTGCCGCCTACTGTCATGATGCTTTGACACCTACTACTAGCATCTGATTAAGAAAGGTTACTGGCAAGCCAGCCATGCAAAACGATAGATTTTTATGATGGTTTTCGAAAGTGGAATAAGTATGCCAATGCGCCGCTATTGACACCTTTTATTGATGGTCTATTGCATCACACACCCATGATGCGCTGCATTCAGATATGCATATCATTTGCGCAAGGGTTGCTCAATGTGGTGAAGGAGGTGGTTACAGAGGACGCATGCGACACGACATATGTCTTCGAACTTGATAATGCAACGAACAGTGTCACGGCCAGCGCCGACTCCAGCGCCGGAAGGTTTCAATTCTTTCCAGACGGGTTTGTAGAGAGACACTCCACGGAACAACACTTGTGAAATCGTGTATACTCTGCCTGCCATATGTGAAATCACAGGGGGGGCATTAGTTTGATGGCCTGGATCTGGCGGACTGCATATTGAACCATTTCTCCAATTCTTGGGCCATGGCCATGTGGATCTTGCCTCGCAGCTCAATACAGAGACCTAATAACTTGTCAGTGGTAGCTGTATCTCGGACTTTTTCATAGTTAGCTTACGGTCTTCTCATGCTTTTTATACATAAGTAGCTTTATTTTATTTCACGGACGTTAACCCTCTGTAGATTTAGTATAATCTGAAAATTATGGCTCGATGGACTGATTTGCCCTTCTCGAACTGACGATTAAGGGACTATTATGCTCGCAAAACAGGAAGAAGCCTTGAGCGGGGCATTTCCTTTGAATTTACGGGTGTACGCCTATATACGAAAACTATAATACGGACCATATGACTTATTAAATTCCGCCTTTCATTAAATCTCCTTTAGCACCACAAAATGCGTCCGTTCAAATAGAAATAAAATGGTATCCAAGCTTGTTACAGTTTCTCGCCAGCTGCCAGAAATAACATATAGTGTAGTAGAATAGGACAATAGTTAGCCCTGTGGTGTGGGCAAATGATTATTTGGAAAAGCACTAAAAACCAGTTCAAACACATAATATTTCCTAAAATTATTTTCTTGCAAACACTGCGGTTCACCACGGACCAGGTGAATGGGGAATATCCATTTCAATTACATGTCAATCGAGGCCAAAAACCTATGAAATATGAAGAAGAAGAAAAGTGCCAGTTGGCGGACCCGTTAAAAAAGCATTGGTTTACGCTAATATTTTCATTCCGTCCTTATGAATCCTGTAGGCAAGCTCATGGGATTTTGGCCTGAGACATGGTAGCTTTTTGGACCAGCGAATTTGGAGCATTTGTAGCTGGCTGGCCAGAGCCGTTATCGTTTGTTGGTCGACTCTTAGGTCACCTACTTTCTACGTAGAACATTGCCTGTAGTGGCGTGCACTGCATACATGCGATATCTTCTTATATATCAGAGAGGCTGAGGGATCTGTACAACTTTTCATTCGTATACAGAATATGATATTATAAATATGAGCTGCGGGTATGTTGGTGGCGGAAGTAGAGCAGGCTTCGTGACAATGTATTTGAATCGATGGAGGGATGTGTAGTTATTACTGTGATGACAAATTTGAAAGCGCGGCGGAGCTGTGGGGTTTGATTGTGTATTAAATACGACGTGTCATTTCTAATTCCGGATATCCAAGGATGCTGGGTCTGGCATCTTACTCAGCGTTTGTATGTAGGTCGGTCATTTTCAGTGTAGGCGTTTGACACTCGCGAGCTACGGAGAAACATTGACGGCTTTTCCTGGGCGCGAGATCCGAGAAAAGAGTGCATAGCTCAACCCACTTGGTAGGCATTTGTGAAGTAGTGCTCTGGCTTAGGCGTAACGAGCACAAGCCTGATATATTCCTGAGGACACCGGTGGTAAACAATAGTTTGATATCCCTATTACTGAAGAGGTCTGTAAGTGGCACTAGGAGCATAGCTAGGTTTGAGTTGTAGGCTGATCATCAATTCATGATAATACATATTGTTTTGTACTGTGTTTTTGTCTTCCTAGCGACAAATGACATCAAGTGAGTGTGCTATATATGTCGATACACAGGCGGCCGCCACATAAACGCAGCTTTGGGCATACTGTAGCAATGTCACGAAATAGGTACCATCTGAAGCTAAGCCAGAAATTACCTATGCCACCGTTATCGACAAAGTGTACGAGTAGCTTTCTCATAGCACTGAGAAATCATTCACTTCGTACACCGCATTGTTTAAATTGCAACTGGCCACTTCTTCCCATACATCTTCCCCGAACCACTACAACGGTTATGAGAGCCAGTCAGATGCTCCCTAGGAGGTAATTTTGGTGACAAGTTCTTACGATTTCCTGGTGTATTGCTGTATTTCAAATGATTCAAGCTGCATACCATGCATTTCTTCTGCGGCGGGCATTGAACCACAGAATATTTGTTCACGACTGCGTAGGTGTGGCAATGCAATACCGCAAGTCTTTGGCCGGTTTAGAATCGCGTTGGTTCTTTGGCCCTAGTTTAAGTTCAGATGACAAAACTATATTTTCTAAAGAGATTTTCTTGGATTCATCAAACTTTATAGGCGATTCCTAGAGGAGATTTGATTTGGGCAACCCCACTCCCCTTTTGTTTTGGGCTGAGCTCTTTCACTTCGTACACCGCATTGTTTAAATTGCAACTGGCCACTTCTTCCCATACATCTTCCCCGAACCACTACAACGGCTATGACAGCCATATCATATGTACATATATTGCAACTTATCTCCTTTGAAATAAATAATATTATCCCTATAAGTGTATTCTGAAGAAAGTTTCAACTGGTAAACAGGTGCTATTGAACATGTCAAGATTCACTGTTTAAAGCACATATACCGCATTATGTGTCGCTATATTCATATTGTATCAATGACGCGTCATCCATTTACCTATATATGGTAACAAAGTGGTCAAATATAGCATCGACTATAGAATGGGAGAAAAGTAAAAAGAGCCTGCTTTCTTCTCCCTCCCCCTCCTTCCCCCCTCCCTCCTTATTTTTTTTTGGACTTTATTCGCCTGAGATAAATCTCCATTTGGAGCCACTTTATGTGGTATGGTCCAAGCCACTCATTTCGGATTTCTAGGAAGCCAAATGAGAGTTCTCATGTTTGCCAATGCGGTTGGTTACTACTACTGTTTTAGGGCGAGTATTACAAAGTTTGATGATCAGTTTTACATGCTATTGCATTGTATGCACCTGTTCAATTCTTCCTGATCGGCTGACGATTATTGGATGCGTGCTGCCGGTAAATAAACACCCTGGCAGTACATATCTTTACCGAAGACTCTGAAACTTGGACCACCAGTTTAAATTTCAGTGGGCCAAATCTTAGGTCCTTGGCATCTAAATTTCTAGTAATTCTTCCTGATCGGCTGACGATTATTGGATGCGTGCTGCCGGTAAACAAACACCCTGGCAATACATATCTTTACCGAAGACTCTGAAACTTGGACCACCAGTTTAAATTTCAGTGGGCCAAATCTTAGGTACACCCATCAGCTATTTGACAAGAAATTTAGATGCCAAGGACCT